TAATAATAATATGTCAAGTTAATTCTGACTTGTGGTGACCCTTTTTAGGGTTTCCAGGTAGAGAATACGCAGAAGTGGGTGCCCTGGGTGCAGCTTGCCCAAGGCCACACAGACTGGCTCTTCTTGCAGGAAGCACACTGTAATTGCAGGAGGAAAAGTGGTGAATCGAATTCCCAACCTGTAGCACTGCAGCAAGATACCTAAACCACCAAGCTATCCAGCCAGCTGTTATCATTTGCCATCACGCCAATTCTGATTTATGGCAACCCTTTTCAGGGTTTCCAGGTAGAGAACACACAGAAGTGGTTTATCATTCCCTTTTTCTGTGGGCACCTTGGGACATAGGCTGGCTCCACCTGGAGAAGGCACAGTGGGGGAATCAAACTCCCAACCTCTGGCTCCACAGCCAGATGTTTAAACCACTGAACTATCCAGTCAGCTTTCGTGCTGCACACACATATCCCCTAATTGTCATAATTCATGCACCAGATTTCTGACTCATAGGCTAGCGACACAACAAAACCTTGCGTCACCCTGCACAAATATGGTATGTTTTTCCAACGCGGAGGTCCTTGCCATAAACAACAAATACTCATGTTCATGCAGAAGTTCGGGGTCACAGCAACATCTAAGCTCCCCAACGAAATGTTACCCATGACAAAACATTCCAGTTCTCTCTTCCTTGCTTCTGCAAGGCAGCAGGACTTCCAGAAGCAGTGTCTATGAGTTTGCTCCCTGACAAAAGTCCACCCCCACCAAAGTAGCATTAATGGCAGCAGTACTCAGCCGTCTACATCAGCCACCTTCACCTCGGAATAGAAATTTAGTTTCAAGAAGTACCTAGGAAACTGCCCTGCACTGAATCAGGGCCTCGGTCCCTCTAGTTCTGTATTGTTGATATTCTGCAGATACTACAGGCTGCAGTTTTTTTCCAGCCCGACCTGGGGATGCCAAGGATCAAACCTCTGAGTTTCCCATTCTGTGTGGGTACTGCCTCTGAGACACAGTCCCTCGCACATGCAGGCACGCTGCTCATTTTATAGGGCCACCTCTCTCTTCTTTTTTACAAGTTTGCAACACCCTGCACATGCACAAATATACACTGGCAGTAAGGGGGAGGGTGGAGGACAGAGAATGCCTTGTGGTATGGGAGAAACCCACTCCCAGTCAGACGTATACTCTCTTATACAATTAGTTGAGACCAGGAATAATGATTAAATTCTTATTTTTTCCCTTTGTGTATTCTTCACAGTATGTTGGAATTAATACAGCTGGCTCATCACCAACATCAACTCAAATGCATTTTTAGGGGAGCCCCTGGCCTCCTGTTGGTATCCAGCAAAAACTACTCTCTTGGCCTGAGGTATTACCTCTTCAGACTAAGAAAGAAGGCAGGAGAGGGAAAGTGAGGGGGAGAGCAACAGCAGAGAAAGATGGAGTTGTGGGGGGGAGAGGGTTGTTCTTTGAGGAAGGGGCAAAATAGTCATCATTATCTGGGCAATGCCAGGCACCTGCCCGCAACCCAAAATGTGGTGAAGTAACTAGCCTCTCCCCACCGAGGATCAGCCACCCGGTTGGGTTCTGCAAGCCACCTGCTCAGGACACCTGCTTCTTGGTAACCTCCTTCTGTACACTGGTGCTGGGAAGCAAGGAGTACAGGGAAGCAAAACTCCACTCATGAACAGGACCTTTTCAGGCTACATGGGAAGGGCAGGAAAGTATCTCTTGTTTCCCGAAATACACCCCCTTTTCCCCCTCTGGGTGAAGAACTAAAGTTCGCCTGGAAGCCAGGAGAAACATTTCTTAGCATCGCATATAACGCTGACATTTAATCCCGGATGCACATGGGGGGCGGCGGGAGGGGAGGGGGAGGAGAGATAAATCAATACGGTGCCCTGCTCATC